AATTTCATCATTAAAAAAATTACTTAAACTACTTGATAATGTTTCAAGATAATTATAAAATTAAAACTTAATTTTTCAAGAAATTTAAATATTTTACGTTTAATATTGTTATTGTTAATCAACTTATTATTACTTATAACTTTATGCTTTTTTTCTTAATTTAATTGTTTGCGGTTGAGATTATAAAGTATTTAGTTTTAATGAATTACAATATTTTAATTAGATATATATATAATTTTATTTGTATGTAATAAAATTAATAAAAAATAATTATAAAAAATGAAAATAAAGTTAACCCGTGGATTAACCTGTAACCTGTTTGGGTCGAGATAAGGTTGGACTTTTTCAATCTGTAACCTGTTCATAACCCAACTTGTATAATCCGTCACCCGAGTTGATCCAATTCGCCCGTTTGCCAGGTCTAGTCTTGACCCTTTTTCTGGTCTAATTTTTAAAAATAACTTTTTTTATTAAAAAATGTTTGGAATTCCAACAGTACCACTGTTATATTATAAAACATTATCTCTTTAATTTAATTTAAGAGTGTGATTATTTTCATTTATTATTTTATTAAAAATTTATAAAAATTATTTAATTTAATTAATATTTTATTAATTTATAATATTTTCAAAATATGTAATTAATTATAATGTTTAAAAATATTAATTTATAAATTAATTTTAATTTGTTAAATAATAAATATAAATTGTTTTATTAATTTTTAATATTCAAATTGAATATATTTTTATGATCTTAATAAAATGATATGTAGCCATAACCACATTCATGATTTAGTTACCCCAATTAATTTTTCTATGATTACCAAAAAAATTTATTCATTAATATAATAATTGTGACTTATCTTTTTATTCTCACCTTTACTTATAATTAAACCAAAAAAATCAAATTCATTTTTTTTTAGGATAAGGATAAAATTAAAATACTACTTCCTATGTCCTAAAATGATGGACTTTTTTCATTTTACCTTTATATTAATGGCTTATTTGATGTAACGGTTAAATTTGAACGGATAGCAGGTGATAGATAGTAAATAGTAATAGTGGGTGTCAAATGGCGATTAGTAAATAGTAAATAGAAGATAGTGGGTGGCAAATAGCAGGTGACAGATAATAAATAGTGGATCTAATTGATATAACTGTTTTGTTATATAATACTTAATAGTTATTGTTCAACATTAAATGTTAATAAAGACATGTTTAAAAACAATTAAATGTATCTTTTACTTTTTATATTTTTTACTATTAAAATTATTAATTTTATAAAAATAATAACAGGAAAATAAATAAATAAAATAAATTATAATAGTGTAACTACATTCTAATTTCTATTTTTAACAAAAAATTATATTATT